AGTTCGTCTTGTCTATTGTCATGGTAAGGTCTATGCTCCTGGTACTCATGAAAGGTTTTTGATTCCTCACTGCGTGAGCGCCTTCATTTTTTGTTCTCTGTTTTTTGTCATCTCGACTAGAGTTTTGGTGGCTACCTTTTTGTTCCTTTTTGCCAGTCATGAAAAAATAAAGTATCTTACAATACTTTACCTCTGTCTCCCTGTCTGCAATTGGGTCCAACATCCCAAGTGCCTGAGATCGTAACAGTTACTACCTACACCTCGGTTTCCTGCAGCCTTATTTCAGAAATTCCAGCCCTAGCCCCCTCTCTTTACTACGAATCCCTGGGACTGACACAGCCCTTGCCTAGAATCTATTTGATAGTCATGTCCATCAGTCTTCACCTACAGCCTCCGGCACTCAGCCCAAACCTGCAGCCATCACAAGTCAGCTGCAGCTTCTGGCATCCAGCCAGTTCACATCCAATGTTAACTGAAACCTGCACTTTCTTTGCAGCTGCAGCCACAGCATCTGCCTGCTGTTGCTGACAGCCAAGACAATAATTTAATGTATATCTATCTAACCGTCGACCTCCAGTTGATACCATTTCAAGCCCACGCCGCAGCAATCATTGTCTCAAAAATGTCTTGATAGTTTTACAATTTATATTCCCAGTCAACCTTGAGTGTGAGTTATGAAGGCTGAGGCTTTGCACTGGAGCTGCTTAGAAAGTAAATACTGATCATCATTATGCAATGAAGAACAAAGCATTAACCACCTCAGCAGTGCTGTTATCGATGCACTGTAAACTTGGCTTGAAAACAGCAAGGGGATGCATGATTGGGGCAGAATACAAAGTCACTCAGAGTAACCTTTTATCTTCCTTGAAACTTTTTCTGAAGAGTTTGTTTTAATGTTTCACTCATGAAATCAAACTGTAAAACATTTCAATTCTTGTTGAACTTGATTTATGACAGTGCTGATTGAAAATAAGTTGCTGAGTGAGATAGTTCCTGTACAACATGTGTCTAAATGAAAAATGAGCGCACAAGAGAACAGGATTAATGCTTCCTCAAAGCTCACAACTCCAGTTTTCTTGTTGAGTCCATGTGCGTGCCATTGAACAATCACTTGATGGAAACTCTTCTTCTCTTGGAACTCTTGTTTCCTTGAATCCATTCATCAATCGTTCTTATTGCTCGTTCTTTCTCTTGCTTTGTTGAAATGAATCAAGGATTTTGAGCCTTTTCCTGATTTGGGAGCAGGCCCAGCTTCCAGGATCCAGCCGACTTGATAGTGTTCCCTACATGAGGAAAAAGTGGAACAATCTTCTCTTTCTTGCCCCCTTGCTTCTGTTAGCCATCAGCAATCCCAGGGTCCCAACCTCCATTACGCCTGGGAGATTGGATAGCTTTTCTCGCCCTGTAGTGGACACTGGGAACACATTCAGTTGGATATACCTATGAGTTGCTTTGATGTACGATTGTTCCTGCGCTGTGAGTGTGGCCAGCCAAGAGGCCACAGCGATGATTGTTGCGCAGGCGAATGCACTGAGAGGGTGATCTATCTGGTGTAGTGTTTTCATGTTTTCTGATGAGCTGACAGCCCAATGAGTCATCTCTGCACAGCATTGTCCTTTGTGACTAAGGCTGACCGTGTAATGCTTGATTTAAGTTTGATTAATCACCGTGGAGCAAATCTCTTTGTTGACCAAGACCAAACCGGTAAACATGTTGATTGTACTCTCCCAATTAAACGGCTCTCAGTAATGTCACGACCGGCTGCCACAAACTGAGTGTTAGATTTAAGTCGGGGACAGATGGGACCGCTTCATCTCTGCTTTAAAACACAAACCTTTACTTCCTGCTGTTTGACAGATGAGTGTGAAGTCTGACAGCAAAGATCACTTGAGTCATGCTGGTGCTGAGAAAAGCAGGGTTGTACACAGCAAACATCGACGTATTGTTGTACCAGAACATATCAAAATCATATTATTCAGGGTATATATCTTCCATTTATATATATTTTTTAAATACACTGTAAAAAATTGTTATATTTTTGTCATAAGAAAATCAAATGACAATGGGAAAACAATGGGATAAAATGAACGGAGTCACTGATTGTAATGATCCCGGAGATCTGGCTTAAAAACAACTTGCACACCAAACTTCTTGCTTGCAGAAGACAGACTTATTTAGCATTTCAAAACCAAAATCGTGTTCAACACCTTAGTTGTTGCTTTGGCTCGAAATCATAGGAAAACACGTTTTGGTGCTAATGAGCATTCTCGTGTTGACCTCATGATTGCGTGACAGTGTTAGCTGAAGGCTATACAGAGGAATGACTGGAGTCAAACACAAATCACCTCAGAGTTTGATTGAAAATAGAATTAAAAAAAACATCATTCTTAGGTTTTGGTTTTGCCAAAATTCATGTTTAGTTAGCATGCACACTGCTATTAAAATAGGTTCATTAAAAAACACTGGATAGAAAACGTTAGAAGACATTTCTATAACAGCACAATACACCATAGAATCTCATTTAAAAAGAGAAGCTGTTCAAGGCTGAAACATGATCAAATAAATAGAATGTAAATATGAATAAAATGCTTTGGGAAATGAGCTGCATTCAGAAATAATTATGGCTGCCTTTATAATTAAGATTATTAATTGCAAAAAAAGCGACAATACGTCAGATGTTGTATTCACGGCTTGTTTCCACCGCACGTATGTTTAAAAGAATGTAAATAAAACTCCTTTTTGTTAAACAATGGACAAAGTGAACAATACTATTTTTTAGATTATGAAAATGAAAAAATTCCATTGTTAATAACAGCACCTGAGTCACCATTGTGAGGGCACATCTGCGCCTCAAATACAGCACAGGCTAAAACACTCCCACATGCAGTGAGGGATTTCAGAACAGCTGCTCCCCGGCTATTTTTTATCACACAGAGGCGAGACATTGTGCACCTCTTCACTTGACAATGAAATCAGCAGATTCCAGTCGCTTGGCACTAATGTTACTGCTATTACATGATTAGCAGCAATAATGAAGTGTGGAATTAAATCTGTTGTGTGTAAAAATACGACAATATTGTAATGTTTTCTTGATGATATAACACACTACTGGATATATTTATATGCAGCTTGGAAAGTGACTGTAAACTTTGGCATTCAACGTGAAATGTGACAAATGATTGACTTGACTGAGGTCCCCTATCATGCAAAATGCACATTATGATGTCTTTTATACATAAATATGTGTCCCCAGTGTGTCAAGAGACTCACAAAGTGTCCGAAAATACAACCCTCTCTCTTTTCCTCCTTACCCACATCTCTAAAAACGGGGGTTCAACGGAGCTGATCCAGATTTGATGCGGTCATGACGACATATCGGAAATATGGGCTGGCTTTTCACCCACAGCCCTATCAGAAACATTGCTCTATCAGAAACAATGCGCAACGTGCTTTGGAAGTAATATGGTCTGTGTTTACATTAGCAAGCATCGCTAACACTCAGAGCTAAGCTGTACTGGAGAGAGTACGTGTAAAAAAGCAGGATATAAAAAGGTACTCACCTTGTGGTAAACCCGCAAGAGAAAGAGCATTTGAGCTCCATACTGTTTCAGAAATAATCCTTGATGTGGTTTGGAACATAATGGCTTTTAATCACGCAGCGTTTAGCCGAGAATCTGGGTAGAATTCTCCTGCATGAGCTTTTAAAGCTAACCAGAATCAGCACTTCTCTAACAGGGCTGAAATAGAGGGGTATGAGGCATGGATAGAATGGGTGATCTGTTTGGTATTTTGAGAATAACACTTTAGAGACATGTTTTTTTTAAATATCTGAGACCTATAATATATGCCTAAAGATAGTATAATAGGAGACCTTTAAGGAAACGCTGACATTAAAACAGTTCTATTGGAAAACATTTTACTGCCACCGAAACAAATATTTTTTTAATGCATTCTGGTGTGTTTATCTGTGACTATTTTCAGTTATTTTCATGTGTCATTGCATTTTTATTAAAAGTTTTGTTCAGGCTGACAGTTTTTTCAGTGTCAGTGGTTTTAGTTTAACCTTTGGGGGAAGAGAAGAGAGTGATTTACATGTTAATATAATCGGCATACTAATGACAGGATGGCACTCTTCTGACCCGATGTCCACCCCAAAGCCTACAACTTTTATGAAGCTTATGATACATGATTGATAGCAGTTATTAAAATATCTAACCTGTAGTTTGGCTGCTGGTTCTGGACAACATAACAGTAATACCCTGACATGGTACGTTTTGTAATAGGCCACCAAACGAAATGCTTTAGGTGCGATTAATGCCTCTTTGACAACACAAAGGATTAGACGCTTGTATGGTAAATGCTGACTCTCAAAGAGAACCTCATCATCTGCATAGAGCAGAGACACATTTCTGAGGCCCCGAACTGACTGACTGTCTGCCTTCTGCATCCATGAACATCACCATACATCACCTTCGTGTTCTGTTTCCAACCCTTTAGCTATGGATGTCAATGATGCGATGGAAAATTAAAACATCAACATAAAAAACAAACATTTTTAGATACAGTTGTTTATATTGAATTTTTTTAAGGTTTTGCAAATGTAGTCTTTTGAGAAAATGGTAAACATAGTGTTTAAATATTGTGAATAATAAAAAAAAACATCCATTTAGAACATTACGGTCTCAAAATAATAATTTGTGCAGGCCTTACATTTTAAAATATTTTTCATATTTTGTTTTTTTACAAGCAGCGCTTGTCTTGTTATGGGCCATATCTTAATTCTTTTCTTAAAAAAAAAAAGGTATTTTAATATCTAAAATTCACATTTGTAATTGTCCAACGTCATCAAAAAAAGAGCTTGATGAGACTATACTTTTTTCCCCCGATATCGTGTGTTTGTAGCATCTATGGTTTGTAGTCGTGTGTAGTGCGTGTGTTTATATTTTGCTGTGACAGGCAATAGTATGAAGCTGCGGTGGTGACGTCACATGACAGCCTCGCCGCCCCAACAGTGCATTCTGGGTCCAACCCAAGATGGCTGCGCCCTTGCAGTAGTGTTGAAGAAGTGCCTCTCTGGAATATTTCACGAGATTGTGTGTGAATAACGAAAACCCTCACACCAAATCAGCTACCGGGGTTGATGGTTTGCAGAAGAGCACTTCACGGTCCCAGTCATCGATAAGTGTGGCCGGTGCGTGGTGGCTGTGGCAGACTGTCCGCGTGAAGATGGGCCTCATCTCCAGCCCCTTCCCATAGCGAAGCGCCGTGGGGAGAGGAGCCGCAGATTCCCCTGCAAACACACGCCCGTCCAGCTTGGCTTTGACGGCTTTGACATATTGTACAGATTGTGGACGCTGCCCTACAATTTTCTGACAAGGATTGTTTGTGCCACTGTGTCTGTCATCGTCCGGAGACGAAGAGCTTCCCCAATTCGGGTTGAAATTCCCTCCGCACCAAGGTCTGCACGCTTCTCTGCCACTAATAGCGCCATTTCTACACATATGCTCCGTTTCACTTATGTCTCTGCTCATGTTGTTTCGCTTTAAATAGCGCTGCCGGCTCCTCTCTCGCAGTTGACAGCTGAATGTGATAGTTAGAGCCAGCTTCAGGGAGAGCTATCATATTAGCCGCGCTAGTGTAGCTAGCACAAAGCTAGCTGGCTGGTTTGTTTGCTAACTGTCCTGCTCGCTAGCAGCCGTCATTAAAGTCCCGTTTAACACAGCTGTGCTGCATCAACATAACCCAACTAACTCCTCATGTGGGGCTGCACGAGCCCCACCATGACGTCATCCAGGTGCTGCCCTCTCTGTGTTATAGTAACCTGAATACTATACTGCAAAACTCTTCATTGTCATGATAGAGTACAAATAAATAAGAACCCCACTCATATCCAGTGCAATGAAAATACACCACAAATACAAATCAACTTCAGCACAAAGCAGCCACATAATTTCACTAGAATAACAGTTTTTCTGCACTTAAAAAATGTAACTATTATTAGTATTAATTGCATTAGAAAAGTGTATTCAATAGATAAGTGTATTTGATAATTAAAGTGTTATTTAAGTAAACACTTTCTGCCCTTGAATTATTCTTATTATTGCATACATTTAGTATCAATGTTGTTTTTTTCACCTGGTTAAATCTAATTATTGCAGTAAAATATGAGAATTGATTACATTAGAACAAATGTATTAATCGCACTAGTTTGAATGCAGTTATTGCACTACAGAAATTTAATTATTGCAAAAAATATGCCTAAAGCAAGACAGTAAAAATATTGCATGTGAGGTGTCATCCAGTGAATTCATAGTCAGGGAGCTCCAGATGTGAGTGGGTTTGTTTCTGTTGTGGTTTTCATTGAAGCAGGAGATCGCATAAGTGCATTAAACATGACCCATAAGTTATAACCATCATCACATGACCTGAGGGAACGCTTTTGGCTCAGGTTCATAAACTCAGCAGCCATTGAGCCTTGAAAGTATTGAATTCAACGCCAACTTCCACACTGGTCTTTTGTTCTTACAGCCACTTGGGGAATCCAGCATTTCATTAGCAGAGAAAAATATCTTTGCACAATTAATTTGATTATAATGCTACTTTTTCCTTCACTGATCATGTTTTTGTTCAGTTTCACACCACAACTGCCCAGCATGAGGTGATAGAAATCCTTTAAATCTGTGTTACTAACCAGCGCTCTCCCCTGCAGGGCCCTGATGAAAATGGACTCAGACTTGCTTCAGTCGCCGGCCGTGGGCCTCACAGAGGAGGAGGAGGCCGACATGAATGACTGGAAACTTCCCCTGGCCTTCATGAAGAAAAGGCACTCGGAGAAGATTGAGGGCTCCAAGGCGTTAGCTCAGAGCTGGAGGATGAAGGATAGGGTAAGTTGTGTTCTCTTCTAAGTGTACTTCAGCAGGTTAAGGATGCTTTTTGTGTCTGTAAAGTTGTAGAAGAAATACACGCATGCAGACTTGTGTAAAAGCTGCTGCATATTTATTTAAAAAATGTCTCACAAGGGATGTCATGATTTGGAAATACTTTAACAGCAAATCCAGGACAGTTATTAGAATTGACGATTTATTACACAACTTACCATTTTAGATTTGGTCTTTCGGCAGACAATCTCCACATATTGACCACACTTTTATAATAGTCGAACCTTGAATGAACACCCCTGAATGAAATGGCTAACGATAGGCTTTAAACAGACTACTTCATGGTCGCATGGCTTTATGTCACCACCGCTAGGCTAGAGGTGTACTCCTCTACAATTGGGCTTTGCTTTGATTGTAAAGGGAATAGTTAGAGAAGAGTCTTTCTTAGCATAGTCCATAAACAATGCTACTTATTAAAATTGGAATCCATTAAAGAGACAAATCAAATGCACACCTCACACTGTGCTTTGAGAGAATATCGGTCTTTAAGCAGCAGCATATCATTAGCCACCCTAGTCTTTATTATAGTGCCAATTCATTGTATTCTGCTAGAGGCAACCTATACTCGCTTTGACACACCTCAAAGCTTTGCCTCATGAATGGCCGCAGTGTGTTCAGCTCTCATAAAGCTGTCGTTTGAGCCACTGCAGTGCTACCAACCCCATTGTTTCATCACCTTGCGGCACTACCATTATAATGATGGCAAATATATTATCATGTATAACCCTCAAAAACTCTGCAACTATTGTAGAAATTCCCCCAAATGAAAATGTAAGATCCCGCTGCTGTTAGGACATCAGTGGATTACACTGTAGTGCCCGCCAGTGTTGAGCTTCAGGAAAATGTTTAATAAGGCGGCATCATTAAATGTGACTCGAGTATTGATTTAAAAGAGGTAATAGGTGCTGGCTGAAATGGGCATTTCTATCAGAGAGTCGTGCTAAATCAGCTGTGTAACATTTTTCATTGCTCTGAGCGCTTTCAGGGCCATAGACCCTCATTTGTACACTTGTAAGAAGAATGTCTCCTTTCACTTCTCTGTGCTCAGAGAGCTGTAACTAAAGAGAACTTTCTGCATTTATGGCTTTGGGGTTGCGTCACCGACCGATTTGATATTAAAGTGACAGAAAAAAAAACGTTATAGTAAAGCCGCGGCCGGAAAAAGGAAGCAACGTTACTACGCTATAATCGATTATCTTCCGTCACTGCATCGATACCGAATCGTCCACGTCCGCATCGCAATGCATCGTAGAAACGATTATTTTCAACACCCCTAGAAATGATCCTGTGGGCCGAAATTAAATCCACCACGGGCCTGATTTGGCCCCTGGGCCTTGAGTTTGACACATGTGGTGTAGTTGCAAGTGGGCACAGCTGTTTGGTTTCCTGCTCTGTGTGCAGTATTACCATGTGTACCTTTGCTGCACCTGCCAAGTGGAATCATGATAACGGGCTTCAGATATACTGTGTGAGCACCTACCAGTGTATTACAGTAGAGTCTAATGTCAGGGCTAATTTCACATTACAAGTGGCACCTTTAAGGAAAACAAGGTGTCCTGATCGTTAATTAAAAAGCCATTAAAATGGCCCAGAACATTGTTTCTGACAGTGATGAATCTTGCCTCAGAAGGAATTAAGATCAGAGGTGGAGCTTAAATGATCATGTTTTCTTTATTAAGGTGTCAGACCTGCAGTATGAAGGTAAGGCCTTCATCAAGACAGGGAGGGAACCAGCAGGATTAGGTTTGCATTGATTTGACATTACTTTTATTTGGTCCCTGTTAAGAAACTAAAAGACGATTTGAATTCAGTTAACAGATTTGTGGTAATAGGTATTTTTTACTTCTCAGGCTCAGTAAACATATTATATGACTTCCAAGAGAGCAAAGCATCATGAACCCAGACCTGCTGAGATAAGATGATTGCAGAGCAGGGCTTGACCAGTATTGATCCACAGCTGGTACACTTGTTTTTCTTTTGCTGGATACACAACTAACATTGTATGTTATCACAAAAGCTGCCCTGGTGTTCTTCAGGTTGAAGTCAGTAGCACAAAGTGTATTTTTTGTTATTAGTGATAACATGATTAAGACTTGTTTAAGGCTGCTGTATCATTAGCAGCAGTATTGCCCTTTATGATCACTGTTCATGGGGTGAAAGTTTTACAGTGTTGGGCTTGGATTGTGTTTTCCAGTTGTGTCGCTCCGAGGGAATTAAAGTGCAGGTGATCTATCGGGGACATGCTCCTTTAAACATTTCAGTTATAAAAAGATGCAACACATGACTGTTTACTTATGATCAGCCTTTAGAGAAAACACTGTTTTGGAACAAAGTTGTCGGTTAACAATCGATGGTCGACCGTTCGGAGCGTTTTTTTTACCTTATAGCAGGGGTCGGCAACAGGCGGTCCTGATCCGGACCCAGACGCCGACCTATAATCAATACATTAATATGGGATTTTTCGGGGCCTCCCGCTTTTTTAACGCTGATTTGGGTGACTTGTGTAATTCGTGGAGAACCGAAGAGTTTTCATTTTGGTGAGGGGGCGGGGGTGTCCGTCAGTCAGTCCGACTGACGGACAGCTTCTCACTTTAAAAAAGAAGAAGAAATCTAGACCGCAAAAATAATTAAACAAGCGAGTACCTGTTTTTCCTGGCCAAGGACAGGTTCCTTGAACACAATACGAGCGTAACGTGTCTTCACGTGGTATATGTCTCGTCTGAAAGGAGTGCTGACGGAGAGCACCGGAACGCCGCTCCAGCCCTTCAAATATTGCAGTACCCATAAGGAGCCGTACACATGCTGCAGTGTTTGCGTGGCTGTGTCTTTAGTTGTAAGCACAGTAGGGGTGTTGAAAATAATCGTTTCTACGATGCATTGCGATGCGGACGTGGACGATTCGGTATCGATGCAGTGACGGAAGATAATCGATTATAGCGTAGTAACGTTGCTTCCTGATTTTCCGGCCGCGGCTTTACTATAACGTTTTTTAATATCAAATCGGTCGGTGACGCAGAGATCAGGGAACAGACGTGACAGCGGCACAGCAACACCAAACACGGAGCAGTCTGCTTTATCCACCAACACAAGAACACCAGTCCAGAACCAACAGCAGAAGGACCCGCTCTGAATCACTCCGTGTCGCTGCGGCACAGGGATTTATGTTTTTCAAAAATAATCGCGTTACAATCATGTCAGGTTTTTGGTGGATTTAATTAAGTCTTGGATTGCAAAGTATGAATGTCCTCTAGCAATTTTCAGACGATAAATACGTGTGTAAAGTTTGTGAAGGCAGGAGGAAAAAAGCTTCCGCGATCACCGTCTCCTCTGCTGCTCCAAGCCCCGCCCCCTCCCTGAAAATAATGAGTGACAGGCTGATAGTGACCTGATAGAAACTTTATTATTCACTTAATCACTGAGATATAATGAAGCTAATTTAATCTCATACATTCATGGGATGTATGTAACAGTAAGACAGAGAATGTAAGTGTGCACCCACATGCACTATTTTAGTTGTTATATGCTGTTGTAAATACTCCTGTTGTCTGCTGTGTTCAGACTCAAGTCCTGTGTGTGATGCCACATTCAGGACATTCAGTGTCCTTTCTTTAACAGCAGACCGTTGCTAGAAGCTGCAGCTAGACTGCAGAAGCATTCTTTTTTTGTTTTTGAGGATGGAACAATTTCACACACAGATATAGGGAGGCTAGACCTATACAATTCATTTATTTTGGTTTATAAATGAATGTCAAGACATTTATGTTATTGATTTCTGAAGCACTTTCTAAATAATAAAAAGAGAGTTCATATGTATTTACTGCATGTATGCATTGATGAAAAATAAGCCATGTGCAGTAATATAGAAAATTGAGGATGCAACGCATTGGTATGAATCGTGATGCATCGGGATATCGAATTGAATCGAATCGTTGACAGGATAATCGTAATCAAATCGTGAGACCAGTGAAGATGCACAGCCCTAAAGCACAGTGGCGATCTGTTGTTATTAGCATCTGGTTAGCTAGCTATGCTAACGAATTTAAAGAGCTTTTCTACAACCAGGTGGAAGAGAGCTCTCTCCTGAGAGGCTCAAATAACCTCAGCTCAGTGAGGTTAAGGCACACCTTGATATGATCATTATAGTTATTAATGAGACTAAATGAAAAACAGGTATAAAATACTATATGACAGTAACAAAAAAGTTATAGAGTTTAAAAGAGGAGTGATTTGTAAAATATCCCAAAAGAAAAATCTGCTTACAGTTCTGTTTCATATGGGTGTTGAAAGATGTATCTATAGATCTCTTAATTTTGCTCTCAAAGTGCATCAGATTGATGCTTTTAACTTCAATATTTAAACACAATTCTTCCCGGGGGAGCATGCCCCCGGACCCCCCTAGAGGAGGTTAGGTCCCCCCCCACTTAAATCATGTTCACATGGATAGGATACTAAATACATTTGCACACATCTTGTGTCCATATCTTTCTGTTTTGATGGTCACGCCACACCGTGCACATGCATGCATATGTGAGTCATGGTGAGATATCTGGATTCAGAGGTTGCTTGTTCTTTGCACAGCATGAAAGAAAGGCAAAATGAATGGGCTGTGATTTTAGTTTTTTTAAGCAGAGGTTGAGTTCAATAATTTGTACGACCCTCGGAGGATGTTGTAAAAATTGAAAGGAAAAAGGTTCCCCACCCCTGCTGTAAATAATAATAAAAACCCTTGATTTATAACTTAACATCTCTGTCTCCTATTGATCTGAGTATATTATAAAGAATAGCAGTTAATTGAAGCATTAGAGCACAGGCCTTTGTCAGATGGTATATTACGCTGTTTTTTTCCTGCTTCGAATAGTTCTCTCTTTTTTCACCATACCTGTGTTTGCATCACTGTAACCAATGAGCACCTGCATGTGTGTGAGAATGGCCCTGACTCCATGTCA